CTCAGCATCAGCGGCAGAGCTCATCGTAGCGGCGGCATCAGCACAACGCAGAGCTGCTTCGACAGGCAAGAAGAACAGGAAATCCAAACAAGCCACCACGGCCAGATGAGATCATCAACACGAGAACCCAGACGGCCAGATCCTGTTTCGGTGCCCGTCACAACTCACGGCGGCCCAACCAACCACGCAGGCGAGACGAGACACCGGACGGGCTGCAGGCCAGTGAGGTCATCACCGTTTCCTCTTTCCTCGACAAGAGCCAACAAAACACCAAACCCAGACGCTCAGCTCCCAACCACGTCGTCCCAACAAGCGCCCGCCGCTCAGCTCGACCCTTGGGCGTCCATCGGTCAGCCCATGGGGGACTCGAGGCGAGGCGAGGCGAGAGACAGGTAATATGTAGCTTACCAACCCAGTCCCAGCCCAACCCACACCCAGATCCCATCGCCTCTCGCCCCCTCTCTCCCTCTCTGCTGTGTCGCTAAGACGTCGCACCCGCCCCGCCAAGCTTCTCAATCCGACTCGTCACATGCAGCTGTACATGGCCTCACTTGCTCGAAACTCCTACCTACATACATGCGCACCCACATGCCCTCCCCTCCCCTCCTTGCTGCTTGAGCCTGGGCCTGGGCGATCTCTCTCTCTCATTGTACACACACACTCCCTCTCTCTCTCTCGCACACCTGCCTGCATACATACTCATGTACACACGTAACATACACGCAGCAGGCAATAGCGTAGAATATGAACCTGCCCTACGCCCCCAGACCCTGCTTTTTTCGCCTCCAGCCCCGAGGACATGCGGGAGGGCTGGATGCATCGCCGTGCTATCCCAGATTCGGGATCCCGCATCTCCCGACTTATCGACCCGCATCCTCTCCCGTCACTTTTCCATTAATCCCCGGCAGGCATTCATGTAGATGACATTTTGACCGCAAGTTCGTTTCCTCCCCTTCCCCCCTCCTCCTTCGCCCAAGCGTATACGTGAGGTGGTAGATTCCTCCCTCGTTTCCCAGGCGAGGCCATCATGCAGCCGGTGAGGGACCCAAGATGAGAAAAGAAACAGAAATCCCAATTTATGATGTAAAATAGGCGATGAGAAGGGAAACAAGGACATTCCCTTTTTGATCAAGGAGGGCATGGGGCGCGTAAAACAAAAATGAGTTCATCTCTCATCTGCAGAGTACAGCACGTAAGAGAATCTAACCGTCACCGCCATCCCTCTCGTCCTCTGCGGTGTAACGAACGAGTGTAAGCCAGGGTTTCATTCCGACGCAGACACAAGAGATGCTGAGACCGGCCAGAAGCTGGATTGGTGGTCGTAGGGTAGCAGGCAAGCAGCACGAGCAGGTTAAACTTCTGGATTGACGGGCCTTTCTCCCTCCCCTCCCTCGTGTCATCTGTCATTATCGTGGTGGTTTCACAGCATGAAGTGCGCCATGGCCCATGAGCAGGTGGTCCCCTCCCCCCGAGCTAGAGCACGGCAATGATGGCATCAGCCGGCCAACGGCACCCACCCAGCCAAGGTCTATCAATCTAGCTCTGGCTGTCTTGGCGCGTCTCTGCGGGGAGGATGAGAGTGGGTAAAGGGGAGGGGCGATATGCAGTGGTGATACATTGTGTGAGAGAACAAGCCACATCAAGGAAGACCCCAGATGCGCAGCTACATGGAAACGCGCATACAGTCCGTCAAGAATGTGCTGCAGGTCGAGGTACCGTGCTGCAAGCGCCCATGGGGGGGGCGTGCCCGCAAACGCGCACCCATCGTCCTCCCCGTTGTTTCTGTCTCTCCCCGCGAACGAACGCACTTTGCTTCTGCCTGCGCTTGTCTCTCGGTGGCACTGGCCCATCCGGACGCAATGCCTGCCCGCCAGTGCCTGGACGGATGACCCCCTCGTCGGCCTGGTTCCGGATCGCCAGTCTTGACCCTCGTAGGCGTTACACGTAGAACTCACTCCCCCCCCTCCTTCTTTCTAGATCCCCAGCGTAGCATGATGGGCAGGAGGTTCTGTTGGTCTGGGCAGCTCTGCGTGTCTTCCCCCCTGCTCAAGCTAATGAGAGGGCGTTGTGAAAAGAGCTGTCACAGTTTAGAGGGGGGCCAGGGCAGGATGAGGAGATTTCCATCCAACGTCTCGCCAGAAGGACCCCATCCAACTCGAAATGGTTGCTGCACGCTGCAAGCCACCGCAGGCCTGCCGGAGACAATGGAGAAACAATGGAGGCCACACCCTCAGTTCTCGCCATGCAGCGTACATACATGATGCTTGTCGTCTGGGCCGAGCCCAAACAGCACACCCGGCAGGGAGAGAGCTGATCGGGCGGCAGTCGTGCACACGTGCAGGCGGGCGGAGTGCTCCGAGGCCAGGTTTGAATCACGAGAGCCGGCCATTGCGAGAGGACCCAATACGACCGAGGATAGCCAGTGACTTAGCCCAGAGCTTCGCCTGCCCATCTGATCTGACCTGACGGCTGGCAAGACAGACGCCAGGCGTGGGCCGCGAGACATTAGCCGAGCTGGGCGTGGGGAGACAACATGGAGGCGGGACGGGCGAGGAAACAACAGCGAGTCCAATCCAATGGAGAGGGCTACATGCTAGATGACCTCGCTCGGGCTGGATCACGGCAGGCAGCTGCTCGAATCAAAGGGATGCACGGCCGCCCACAACTGGATAGTGGCAGACAGGGATGGCGGCGTCTAACCGCAATCGCAACACGATGCCACAGAGAACCTTAATCCATCCAGTAGATGGCCGTGCTCGGGTGCATATGCAAGCTCTCTCTCATCAGTCGCATCCCATCCCCCTCACCATCTCTTCGTGCTGAGATGTGATGCGATGTGAGGCGAGCAGAAGGGCCAACCACATCGACCACGGCCGGAGCACCAGGTTATATAAGACACCACGGCATCGGGCCTTGGGATCAATTGTTTCTTCCTCCCCATCCTGCTTTTTCTCCTGCTCTCATCTCATCTCGTTTCTCTTTCCTTCTCTGCAGGCCGCTACTTTTAATACAAAATCTGCCCTTTGACCTTCTCACTCTCGCTGGCACGCCCAACGCTGCCTCTCTTGCACCATCCGCACATCCATCCAACAGCATCACCAAGCACAATTGAGTGTCTCTCGCTCACTTATACCCACAACGAATCCATTCAATCAATCAATCCACTTGCTCAACCACTCCTCCACCAAAATGTCCAAGGCATGTCCATCCATCTCCCTCCCGCTCAGACCTCCCATCCCAACCTCTCCTACAAACCAGCCATGGCTAACAGCAACCAGCTCCAAGACAAGAACACACCGCACTACACCGTCCCCAGCATCCCCCCCGTCCAGATCAAGGGCCGGTGCGGCACCATGGAGGACTTCCGGCGGCGCTACAGCACCAACGAGGACCCGACTTACACCTACGACATTGGCCACACCAAGACGCCCAAGCGCGTCGTCGACGACGGCGAGGCTGGCCTGTGCCTCGACCTGAGCACCAGGCGTTGAATTGAAAAGGATACCCAAAGCTAAAATAAAAGTCTCTTGTTTTTTTCTCTCTTTTTTTTCTTTTTTTTTACTTTCTCAAAAAAATCTAAAATAGTAGCTTAATTCATCCAAATCGAGTCGCTCGTTTGAACCATGTTCTTAATCACCTTCCTCTTCCACTCTGCACTGGTGCCAAATCGTCCCCCATGCCATAATCACCTCGACAATCCCACACGAACCCTCAATCCAACACAACGTTTACCTAAAGCAACGCAACTTGTCGCCGTGCTCTCCCAATTTACTCATCCGGTCAACTTCTCAACAAGACAACCCGGCCACACATCCAATTCTAGCCACACCACACATCCAGCCCTCACCACAGCATATAGGCCACCATCCCTCCCATCCCAATGCGCAACGCAAAGAAAAGAAATCCCAATCACCAAAGACATAAAATCCCATATCACCTCACGGAGCCATCCCCGGGCCTTCCACAAACCTACCACAATGACGTGGACTCTCCCTCATCTCCATCTCCAGCGGGTTAAAGCATCCCACCCCGCAAAGGCCCCCTTCCCCTCTCCCTTGATCAGGCAAGCCGAAGCCAAACCAACCACCACCACCATCCCCCCCCCCCCCCCAAAAGCCGCGACGCCAACGATGCGTCCCGAACGGGAAACCGATGAGTTCGCTGGCCGTTCCCCCCGTCGGTGGGGGGCCACTCAAAAAACCACCCTCCAAGCATCCCAGGGATGAAGAGCCTTATCAGGACCGGGGATGGTGAATGAAAAGGTAGGTGTGCGCCGCCGTGGCGCGACGTCTTGGCGTTGCTTTCGCCGTAACCCCCTGCTGCGGGGATCTGGCCGACCCTCCAACCGGTTCTCTGGGTTTGGAGGGGGGGTCGCATTCGCGTACGCGCTTCGGAGGGGGGGGAGGGTGGTGCTTTGTGCGAGGGTTCTTGCATAGAAGTGCCCAGGGATTAGGGGGAAGAGTCAAAAGGGCCCGGCAGGCTTGCTTCATTCCTTGGGGGAACACAGGTCATGCGGGCATAGGAGGCTCAACCTCCGGAAGGCTCTTATTACGGCCACGGGCTCAGACTAAAGTGTCTCTCTTCCCCGACTCTCTTTACCCATAGATGAGTTCAACACGTCATTCCGGAATATGAACAGAGACAAATAATCGGTAGGATAGGTCAGCGAGGCCTAAGATCCTTGTCTATTCAGTATCTAACTCGGTAGGAAACATGGGGAGCGGGATATAAAACGCCAGCGACACATTATTAAAGAAGCACTAATGGTATAAAGGGTATCGGCCTCGAAAGGGGTAGGGTGTATATCATCGCCAAGTGGTATATCCGGGGATTGGCTCCGAGGCTTGGTTCGTGCTGCTCATAGCCTCATGTCTCGGGCGCGGTGGGACAAATGACCAGTTGAAGGCAAAAAAATCAGGCAGCTGCTTCTTCTTCATTCCTCTGACTCGGCAGTCTTAGGTCTTTGCCGCAGCCGCATATGTTTCAGATGTGGCCTGGGCCTACTCAGCTGCGTCTTTTGTGGGCTCTTCCTCCTTCTTAGACTCCTCTGTCTTGGTTTCTTCTTTCTTGGTCTCCTCCTTGATTTCCTCCTTCTTGGGCTCCTCCTTGGTCTCCTCCTTGACCTCTTCCTTCTTAGCCTCTTCCTTCTTCTCTTCCTTGGTCTCCTCCTTCTTCTCCTCCTTGGACTCCTCCTTCTTTGCGGGCTCCGGCTCCTTCTTGACCAGCTTGATAGCCTCGCCCTCCTTCACGCTCGGGCCCTCACCGCCGTACTCCTTGGGCAGGGACGACTTGATCTGGGGCAGCTCGGCGGCCAGCGTCGTGCCGGAGCTCATGGGGTGGAACTTCTTGAGCGTCGCGGGCGCCAGGAAGAGCTTCATGGCGGCGTACATCCAGCCCATGATAGTCGGCACGTTGACGAAGTACTTGTGCTCCAGCAGCTCCGGGTAGGCGGTGGCGAAGGCATCAATGGTCTGCTTGCTGGCGGCCTTGACGTGAGGGTCCATGCGCAGGAAGCTGACGGAGAGGTAGTCGTGGACCTGGACCATCTTGTAGGGGTCCGCCACGCTTGGGTCATCCGAGATGGGCTCGGTGGCAGCGTCGATCCTGAGCTTCTGGACGCCGAGCTCCATCAGGGCAGTGCGCCATCGGACGAACCTAAAGGATTGTTAATCATCTACTAATGAAGAATGGGGAAACTGGTAAGAGATATCCAACTTACTCGTCAACGTCTCCAAACGTCTTCTTGAAGCTCTTGACGGCGCCGTAGATGTTCCAGGTGATGACCGTCTCCAGGCCGGCAGCGTTCTTGTGGACGGTGGCATAGCCCAGGCCCTCAAAGGTGTCGGCGTCAAAGGTGCACTCGACGAGCTCGGTGGGCTTCAGCTCCTTGCGCCACTTGAGGGCGTCCTCGAGCTGCTTCGCGGCGACGTCGACATCGCCGCCCTTGGCGCGCAGGAACTTCTGCAGCACGATCTTGGCCGGGATGCTCGTCTCGATGTCCTTGAGCTCGATGCCCCACATCTCAGTGTGCTCGGCCTTCTTGAGGATCTCGGGGAGGCGGGCGGTCAGCTTTGAGAGGGCCGTCTCCGGCTTCTTGGGGGCCTCCTCCTTGGTCTCCTCCTTGGCCTCGTCCTTCTTGGTCTCCTCCTTGGCCTCTTCTTTGGCGGCCTCTGTCTTGGGAGCCTCCTCCTTGGCGGCTTCCTCCTTGGCGGCCTCGGCCTTGGGAGCCTCCTCCTTGGAAGCCTCTACCTTTGGCGTCTCCTCCTTGGTAGCCTCAGCCGCAGGAGCAGCGGCAGCAACAGCCGGCTCAGCAGTGGGCTCCACGCCCGGCGCAGGGGCAGCGGCGGCGACAGTCTTCTCCTCGACAGCAGACATGGCGACAATGGGTATCTAAAGGGTATGAAAAAAGGAAGAATGTTTGGGGAACAGCGTAGAGGAGAAAGAAAAAAAAATCCCGACACGACAAGGTTGTCTATTAAAATTTTGGGGGACAAGGCGGGGGTCGTGGTTATTAGATCAAAACAAACAAACCGAGTCCAACAACAGGGTGCGTTGAGCTTGACGAATAGCGTGGCTCAATCAATGCGCCGCGAGCTGTATTCAGGGTTTTTGAGAGGGGGTATCGTGGAGGGGTATCTGGAAAGGGGGTATCAAATAAAAAAGCAGGAATTCAGCCAAAGAGCGCAATTGCGTCGACTGGTCAAGATCAAATCCAACGGCGTCGCAGGATGGGATGGGATTCAGGAGAAGGAGGCCGGAGCGGAAAAAGGTCATGGCCTGATTGATATCTCTGGGAGCTTCGAGGTGTCAGCGTCGTAGCGCCAGTTGCTGCCTCCACTCCAGCCCGGCCGGGTGGGGCGGGCCTTCCCCCTGTAATTCACTGTGCGTGGTTCCCGGATCAATTCAATTCAGATCAGGAGAGGCCGTGCGCTGTGGCCCAGTGTCACGGTGCTCTGCTCGCCGTTGGAGTAGATGAGCACCGCGAGAGCTCAAGCTGCGAGCGAGGCGAGGGAGCCCCTGCAACCGCTGAACGGTGCTGTTGCAGGTGTCGCTACTAGCCTGTCGCGCGACACAGCTGCGGGCTGTTAGTCGGCGCTAGCACGAGCACTGTGGCGTCGCACAACGTCCCGTCTGGCGGGGAAACGAAATTACAGCGCCGGGCTAGGGGAGGATCCGAGCGTGGCTGGTGGCCAATCAATTCCTCACAGCGGTCCCTCGAGTTCTGAGTGGCCTGCAGCAAAACGACGAAACGGCTTCAAAAGTTTCAATTTGGGTTTTATAGCGGTAGTACGGATCGTAATCTGCAGTCTGTTCAGGCGTCCTGTGTACCCCCCAAACCGAGCCAAGTCCTTTCACCAACCCTTCCAAAAATTTCCAGCACACCAATTTGTCAAGGACCGTGAAGTCCGTCCTAATCTCAAGATTGTCAGGCATCGTCTAGCGACAGACATCTCCCATGTGGGCCTCCCGATCCGTTTCAGTATGGACCCTTGTTTTCCCCAACTGGTCTCTTCGTTGTTCAATCTCGTTATGCGACTTCTCTCAGGGAAATGAATGCAATAGCAATTTAAGAAGGAAAATAAAAGGAAAATAAGGAAACAAGCTCCGATCCGATCCATGCACGCCTCTCTTCCCCACCCGAACGTGACGCGAAACACATGAAAGAAGGAAAACGTCTCTTTGGATTGAAATTGCTTGTGCAGGGTAGCCAGCCCAGCATGATGGCTGGCTTGTGCAGATTTGTGTGTCGGACCAATGCGATTGAGTGAGTGTCTGTAGCATCAAAGGAGTGACAAATGCAAAATCAGGGCAAGAGCAAAAGCGATGAGTAAAAAAGAGAGAAAAAAAGAAACAGAAACAATCAAGAGAGTTAGTTGGACGATTCACCACCTTTACCTTGGGACTAGGTGTGTGTTGCTGGGTTTAGTGGCCAGCCAGCGCCCGGGACAGGATTCGCTCGACAGCGGAAAACTCCATGTGAGCGACCTGGGCAATGGTCAGGCTGTCAAAGGACGGGCCCATGACGTGGCCAAGCTCGGCCCAAAAGTGACCCCAGTAAGGGTTGGTGTCACGGGTGCGCTCCTGGATGTCGTTGCGGTCCTGAAGAGGCCGAGACATGGTGTCACGTAGCGTCTGGTCACGGATGAGGGCAATGTACCACTGCTCAGCATGTTAGCAAAATGCGGCGAGGTGAGGAGAGGGTGAGGCAAACCTCGACAACGTCAGCAGGCATCCCGGGCTTGAGACACATCGCATACTGATGGCGCCATCCAAACGCGTAAGGAGGCTGGCCATAGCCTAGCTGCTGCTCTTCATCCGACATCTGGGCGAACCAAGCAATGTCGTCCTTCATGAGAGGAGTGAAGCCGGGGCAGCTCATTGCCGCACTGGCGACGCGGCGATACAGCTGCTTGTTCAAGTGGAGGTGGTTATCGTACTTGAAGATGCTCCGAGCAAGAAGACGAAGGAGCTCGCATGTCGCCTTGAAAATGGCACGTCGCTGCAAGATGGTGATGTGATCGGTGTAGCCCCATGGGAACTTCTTCAGAGTGCTGATGAGACACTCGTAGGGACGCTGAGGGCAATCCTTGGAAAATGGAGACTTTTTGTGTGTCAGTTGATAGGTATAGGATAAACAGCAAGAGTGAGATAGCGAAGAGAGATCGACTTACTCTGTGCGGGACCTCAACATGCTTCACAAGCATTGTCATTTCTTCTTCGGAAATGAATCCCTTGAAGTTCTCCCAGGGCTGGTCCGGCTTGTGGGCTTTGAACTCGGGCCTTGAGCCATCCCAAAAGATACCAACAGCGAGAGGGAACAGATCCTTCATCAGGCAGCCCTGGTCGGAGAGTTCAACATCCACAGGACGATCACCGAGGCGGCTAACGCGGCCACCGCTGATGTTCACGTGATGCCTCTCGACCGCTTTCATGGCATCTTCAAGGGTGCAAAACTCGACGTAGGCATCCATGGTCTTGCTAGTGACCCGCTCCATGATGATGTGCACTGGCTCGTCACTGTCATTGAGAATCTTGGAGTTGCGCCCAAGGAAGGCAATGACTTCCGCGCGCTTGGTATCAAATGGGATCTAGGTGGGTAGGTTGTCAGCAAGAATAGTAGCAATGAGTGGTAGGCGAGGAGTGGCAGAACCCACGTTGCGAATCTTGACGACGCCGTGGTTGACAGTTTTATGCTGCTTTGAGCCCTCGACGAACGGGAAAAACTCAGGAGCCATTGCGGTACGAAAACTGGGATATCCCGAAGGAGTCGAGGTGAGAGCCTTCAACTTGTCAGAACGAAAGTCAAAGACCTGCAGCCCCTGCAAAGCCAATGGAGAGGCCATCTTGGAGGCAGTAAATGTCTTTGCCGCGTTGGGATCATAGAAAGGATCCTGCGCTCCATTCTGTGCTTGGCCTGTAGCGAGTCCCAGATCGAACTTAGGGGGTGGCTCTTGACGAGCGGGCTGTCCACATGTTGTGGGAGCATAGTTTCTAGGTTCAGTGTGGTTAAGAGGTGTCGCTGCAGGAGCAGTCAAAAGGTAGCTGGGTGTAGAATGTTGGGGAGTGGGATCTGGACTCATCAACGTGGATGACGTGGTCTGGGCCGAGCCGGGGAACGGGCTGACAGAGAGAAATGTCTTGAGTGACCCATTGGAATTAGAATAGGGAACAACGGCGTTTCCCTCACTCATGGGAGTGTGAGGAGCCTGTTGCTGTGATGGATGTTGTGCAATGTTCACCGACGGGGCGGGCTGGTACGGCATCAACGGAGCAGTGTTCGCTGGGCCCGCGGCGCCCACCTAGGGCGTAGCAGTTCCATTTGCGACACCATTGTGGCCCTGGTTGAATTTCTGGAACATGTACTGGGAGGGGTGGTAGGGACCATTGTTCATGTGATTCATAGGGGCAATGGGTGGAGGAAGGGGGCCAGCTGTCATTCCGCCATCTTGGGGCATCGGGACGCTGCATTGGACAGGAGCATATGTGACAGGCTGGAGGCTGTTAATCATTTGAAGATGATGAAGGGACATATTAGTGATATCCATCTCCCGTACCTGGGTAAACTGTCCGTCGGTTGCACCAATGTTGGGGACCCATGAGCTGGACGTGGGGTTCAGTATAGCCTGCTGTTGCTTCATGTCAGATTGCTCCAAGACAGATGATGGAGCCGACGAGTCTTTTGCTGTTGTCCCAGACGTGAGCGAAGCAGATGGTGAAGTAGAGCCATTGTCGTCCGACTGGCTGTTTTGGGTAGTGAAGTTGTAGGACGGGTAGGCCTGAGCCATACCGTTTGCCGTGGCCATGTTGATGAAGTGGCTTTCTAAAAATTCAGGTCAGCTTTCGATGAGAAAACATTAGATTCGTGAGGAAAACAAACCGACTTATGGAATAACACGAGTTTCAAGTTATCCTAAGTTGAAAGCAAGCTCAAGCGTGCAGGTTTTCCCCAGGAGAAGTTCTGTTTTTTCAGGTCAAAGTGCCGTGAAAGTGGTTTCAGGCACTCTGGAATGCAAAGGAACAGCAACGAATCCAACGGGGGCTTTCCAAGAGTGTTTTCAAAATTTGAAAGCAGTCTGGATGGATGGTTTTTGTGCAGTGAGAAAGAAGAGGTGGGTGGATGAGGTGAGGAAACGGGGATGAGGGAGGGTGAGAGATGGTGGAAAGGGGAGGAAGAGAGACTGAGCGGGTCGAAAGAGAGGCTTTGCACCGAGTTCAATCTGTTTGGAGAAAAGTTACTCGGTGTTGGGCGTGATTGAGTGTGGGATGATGGCAATCAACTCACCTTGGTGGAATGGATCTGAGGTGATGCTCACTTTCAACTCAGACCCGCACCGCGCTGCTTGTTATGATCCCGTCTGCAGAAGCCCACACGCGCACGCCCGCCGGAGGGCACGAGCCCAGAACACATGACTTCTGCCAATGAGAGGCCCGGAGCCTCCTTGGAGCCCACCCATCTTGCATTCTACCAGCTGCTGGCACATGTTTGGCGGGGCAGCAGTGTTGTTCTGGCGTGTTATCGATGCCCTTGCCTTCCCCCAAGCTTGTAGAGTTTGGCTGCAGCTGATCTTAGGAGGCTGAAGTTAGATGTAGGGTGGCACAGGAGAGTGCGTGAGTAAGTGAATGCTCTCGCCTTATGAATGGGGAACCCTGAGCGACAATACCCAACACAATGCAGCCTTATTGTGTGATTCCATTTTGATAAGCGGTCTGGCACTCGAACGCCACCTTTGCCCCAAGGCCAGCACATATTCACATGCATTAAATAGCACCGAGCAACCAACTCATACCGAAGTGCACCAGGGAAACAATGACAATGGCCGGCCGACGATACCCACCGTAAATCGACGCTCGTTGTGAAGTCAGATGAACTCGAA